AATGTTTAGTTTGCTTTGATTGTTGAAGAGGAGATTAAACAAACTTTCCATGCAGTAAATTGGGAAGTTTTTTTTTATCTTGATTCCTAAGTAACTCATAGATTCATTTGTTTTTAAAAATTATTGAATATATTGATGAATTAACTGGTTTATTGACAAGAATTGATAAATGTAAATTATAGATTTAGAATGCAGAGCTCAAACAGTTATTACAGCTACATCTGTTGATAGTTGAATGTTTATCATGTTAGTCAATGTGAAGCAATGTAGAGGAAAAAAAGAAAGAGTTGTTTTAAATCCATCATGCACAAAGAAATTGTTTAGCGTCCTTGACTAAAGTTGTTTATGAAAGAATTTATTTTTTTCGAAGCTTTAATGAGGATTGTATATTCATACACTCTTTTATCGAAACCTTTGATGACTTATCAAATAAAATGTTTACTTAAACAATAAAAAAAACTTTTTTTATTTTATTTTTAGCTGTATGGGATTGATGAGAAGGGCGTGATGTTGTGAAAAATGTTTTTCCATCATGAAATGATACTTCTACAGCAATACATTGGTATCTTATTTTAACATACATATAAATACTTTGGTCGCATTAGATAGAAAACCTTATTCGTTAACATATATTAGTTAAAATAAACTGGTGTGAATTTTCATGTTTCAACAGTAAACGTTTTAGTTTAGAGTAAATATGAAGGAATGTATGAACAAATCAAGAAGCTGTGACTGGTCCATCAAAGAATGATTTTGGTTATAGCGACGATGAAGTTGTTTGAAAAAATTTCATTGCTGATACAAATTCTTCTAATTTTAAGAAAACTTATGTAGATGTCTTGCTCAATAACAATTATGTTGAACTTGTCTTATGAGATATTTAATAGTTTTCTTTAAAAAATACTATAATTTTGTTTGAGTAAAAGAATAAAAATCATGTTCTTCAATTCATACAATAGATTGCGAAGAAAGATCATAAAAAAATAAGTTTAAACAATCCTTCCAATTATTACAAGCACAGATTAATTAGTTTTACCTAATTTAATTTTCACTTTTTGCAATCGACATTCATTTTTGTCAAGAAAAAAAACTTTTTAATCAATAGTTGATGCGTCTAGTTTGCATTATCATTTTCATTGATACCTGTAAAAAAGAGATGAAAAGATCATTTTTTTTTTCTTCAAATAAATTTAGATATGCTTACTTTGCTTGATTCAAATGTAAGAATAATATTTACTTACGTTAGAGAAATTTTGTAAAATCTTTCAAAAATATTTCGATTAAAATAGAAAAGAAGTGTACTGAGATAATGATTCGAGGTGATTATCTTGTGAACCAATGAATTCTACTAAATATAGATGGAATATCAGTGTCATCCTAAGTCATGTACAGAAAGTTTTATCGATTGATAAATTTATTCGAAACAACCTATTATAGAATGTATTTTCCATAATTTATGTCTCAGTAGATGCTGATATTCAAGCCTTTGATAACTCTCAACTTTATATTCGACACGGTGTTCATATGTTGTACCTAACGAATTATTGTTTTATTTTTCGACAGATGAATAATAAAATGCAAGACCAATCATATTAATCATCTTTTCTATCTGATGGTGATTATATTGAACATGAAAATAAATATCATGAATATTTGACTATGCAATAGTTTCTTTTAAAAAAAAAAGATAATAATAAATTAAAATGCGGATGGAAATCACACGTATAAAATTATATAATGGTAACTGATCAAATTTGTTTATCAATATTAATTAGAAATAAAGTAATATATTACATTATTTTGACACGAAAATCGAGATTATTCTTAATGCTGATATCTCATTACAGGCAACATATAAATATTAGAATTTTCATTAAAAAGAAAATCGACAATAAAAATTAAGATATTAGTCCGATATTCTCTAATACCAACACCAATGATAAAGAAAAATTAACAATAGTACTAGGATGAAAAAAATATTGAAATATTTCTGCTTGGATTCGCACAAACTAGTTGTTTTTTGATTAATGGTAGAATCTTAATTTTAAGTTTTTTTCATACATCTAACGTAAACAAATACTAATACTAAGTATTATTTGATGGTCTTATGAAAGTAATGTCATCTTTTATGAAGTAAGAAAAATAAATATGTAATGTTTCATAGATAATTTTCAGTTGTCATCGAAGAGAATAGTAATAAGAAGAGGTCAAAACGAACTTTATGAATGATATTATATTGTTGCATATGAAGGAAGTTTTCAAAATTATTCAGTCCGTTAAAATACTGAAATTTGTTCTCGATTAGTACAATGAATTTTTTTTTACAAAAACCAATGTTTTGTTTTTGAAAATTGTTATCATTGACTTTTAACTAAAATAGTTTTGAAAAATTACTCTACATGCATCAATATAATATCATTCATAAAGTTTGTTTTGACCTCGTCTTCTTATTATTCTCTTCGATGACAACTAAAGATTATCTATGAAATGCTACAACTTTATGTTTCTTAATTGATGACAGATGGGATTACTTTCATGATATCAACAATGATATGTAATAGTAATATTTACTTACCTTATCCGTATATAAAAACAAAAAATTTGAATAAACTTCTACCATTAATCCAAAAATCAGCCTATTTGATTGAATCGGTACGAAAATGTTTTATTTTTGTTATTGTAGTGATATTTACAGCCCATCCTATATAGTAGCTATCGATATTCTGTTTAATTAATATCAACTAATGTCATGTGATAATTTTTATCAATAGACATAGTTGATTGTCGATGATATATTATCAGATCAAAAAATAGATTCACTATGATTAGGTACCAACATCTCTTATGTTGATTATATCGTGTCGAATTTTAATCTTGTGATATCAAGTACATTAAAGACATTATTTGCTTTGTGTATCTCTCGATTTCAGTGGAACACTTTTAGAAATTGTTGATGCTTGAATAAGCTGAAATACAACATCCAGATCCGTTAGCAAAAACGATTGCGGCTATCATGGTTGAGTAACTACGTTGTTTGACACAAACTTCACAAGATACTGTATTCGAACCTCAATACCACAAGTCATGAAATGACTCGTGATAGATCACTAACGACTGTCTATTTCGAATAATGCATCCGATGGTATACTGGCTACGTTATGATATACACCTGCTCTTATGATTAGTTAATGTGTATGGCAGGCGCAAGATAGTCGAAACGCAAGAATATTCTTCTTTTTGTTACTAATTATACGCGAACTACTGCTTCTTATATCATTTATTTGATAACAGCATTCTTTTTTCGTTATTTAAAGCAAAACATAACTAAAATGAATTATTTTATTTCTATTACAAGACAACAAACATCAGACAATAGCGCACACAAGATTAAGAATAATATATGGATTTAATTTTCGCAAACATTTGAACAATAAACTGAAGATACAACAATAAGAAAGAAAAAATGATTCCAAATGACACGACTAGGTTGCTGTTTGTCTGTAATAATTGAGGAAAGCGAAAAAAAAACATCACAAAAGAAAACAGCAAAACAAAAACATAAGATTTAACTTTCATGAAATGATTTTGATACTTATGAATTTGATATATTATTAGGGGAACTTGTTGGCAACCATCGTGTCTTGTAATCATTAAGACCAAAACCCACTGAATAATTTCCTTTCATAGCAAATAATTGAAGAAAATGAGGTTTACAATAAATTTGTCCATCGTTTGCTGTATAATTACCAAGTCTAAAAAAAAAATAAAGAATTTAAAAATGAAATATAAATAAACGAATTTTGTTTTTTTCAACATTCAAAAATGCCCAATAACATGCTCTCAAGTTACACAGCAAAAGGGAGTAGACAAAAAAAAACAAAAGCCTACGATTAATTATTGATGAATTGAATTTTATTTTATTTTATTTTTTATTTTATTTTTTTCTAAAATAATACAAAACATATAGATTATTCTATTAAAATACTTACTTTAATATTGATTTACAATGCGTACATTTAAAACATGATTTATGATAAACTTTTCTATCTGCTTCGATCTATAAACAAAATTATTTATTAGAAGATGCAATGAAAATAAAATTTTTTGTTTTACTTTTTCCATTGCATAAACTGTTTTATGACAGCCAAAACATTTTGTTGAATCAACAGTCGATGCAGTATTAAGTTGTTTAGGTGCAGGTGTATTCTGAAAAACAAAAATTAATTATAGGATATCGTTATCCAAATATATATCCATAAAATGATTCAATTTCAAATCTTATTTCCTTTTTGAAAAATCTGAAATTTCTTTTAAAATCTTTATAATTTATATGCTTGGCAAATCTTTGATACATTTCTATATAATGTTTTAGACAAAGCAAAATGACGGCATAGATTCGTTTCGTAAGACAAAAAGTACATACACTGTATAAAAAAAAAAGAAATTATGTTCTAGAGGTGTACAAGGTGAACTTTTTTCTGTATTCTGTACTCTGATTGACAAGCGAATCATTTTCAACTGATCAAGCACGATCTCACTATACATATTGGATTACGGATTAGCGATCATGCTAATTCTGAATATGATCATGAGAAATCCATTTAGGTTTTTGTATGCTAGTTTTTTTGGAACTATGATTTCTCTGATTAATAAAAATCCTACTAAAATTGTTATTCATCTAGTCAAATTATAGAACATATTGAATTTTCTATAAATTAATAAACTTTTCTATTTTCAAATTTGAGTTTTAAGTAAAATAATATAAACTTCAAGGTAATTTTTAGAATGATCGAGCTCTATGTGTAGAATAGAATAAATCTACACATTTTTATTTTTGTTTCTATTTAATATCTATAAGAAGGACATGATATAAGATATTAAGAGATGACAAAATATGCATATTGATCCTTATAAATAAAACTAGTTCGGAAAATGTTTATAAATACTATATATGATTACATTCTAAATATAGTATCATTTTACTTAATACAATGCTTTTGAAAAATTCTTTTTAATTAATTAAAATAGTATAGTTTATTAGTTTTTGAATTTTACATAGTATAAATTCTATAAATGATGTATCAATAGATAAATTAATTTTAATTTTATCAATAAAAATGAAAATTATTTTCATTTATTCTATTCTTATATAGACATACCACAAAACGTTTTGGTACATATTTTATTTTTGATGATGATGTTTCAATTTTACGTGCATCTTGTTCAAATTCAATAAAACGATTTTTTAATGATTTTGCTTGTCCTTTTATTGGCATAATTTCTTCATTATTTGTATATTGTTCAGTTATACTAATCCCATCATATGGAGGAGTTATTGATTTCCTAAATTTGATTTTGTTTTTATATTTAAATACAAAAAAAAATAAAAATTATTTTTCTCTAAAATTTACCTTCGATTAATATCAAATGATTCAGGTGGTGGTGTAAATTGTTTAAGTGTTTTTCTTTTATTTATTGCATTAGTTTGTTCAGCATTTTGTAAGAATCTAGAAAATATAATCATTATTCACATAATAGACTTAAGATTCTCAATATCAACATGTTTATCTTCATTATAATAATATGATATGTTATAGAATACGAGAAAAAAAATATTATATATATATATAAACAAACTTATACCTTTCACGAGCAGCTTTTGCATGACCTAATTCAATATTTGCTTTGTCATCTATATAATTTAAGTTTTGAGAATTAATTTCATTCTGAAAAAAAAATAAAAGTTTATTAATATTAATATTATCATGATGTATGATTTCAATATTATAATATGTATGTCAAAAATTTTGATCTTTTATTTATTTTAAATCTATCAACTTACATCATCAGGAGGTAATATATGTCGTTCATTATCTATTGGTGGTGTTATAGGACGTAGTCCACGTCGTTCAAGTGGTGGTGTATTTTCTTTATCTATTGTTTTCCACATTTGAACAAGATTTTTTGCTTTACCTAAGTTTAGATATATGAAAATTTCTTTTATAACAACTATGAAAAAATTATTTAATAACCTTGTTGAACAATTTCAGCATCATGTTTAATATGTTCATCAATTCCATCTCGTTCAGGTGATATTTGTTTTGTTTTCCATTGTTCAACAAGTTGTTTTGTTTGACCTTTTTCAAAATAGATTTCTTCACTTTTATCACTTTCACGTACAACATGTCCATTTTCCTATATTTCAAGTAATGACAAACAAAAAAGAGAAGATTACACAAAAGAAATAATTAATTCTATATGAATTAATGAAATATGTTATGTTCATAGTTAGTAAAATATATTTTAGTAAAAAAAAAATGATTACATATCTATTTTTCTGAGCAAACAAACTCGATTGACTACTTACAATTTTCATGTATGACATGTACATGTTTTTTTTCTTGTCTTTCGATTTATGTATGTATGTATTATTCGATTGAATATCTCTCGTCGATGTTATCACTTTTCTTTCTTACAAATGACTGAGTACAGATGATAAATATCTTTTTACTGATTCCTTTTTTTTTTTTGCTAAGTGGAAAGAGAAAAAAATATAGATATATGAATGAACGCTTACATGCACTCGACCGACTAATCGATTGAAGGTCACATTTTTAGTCTTTTCTTTTACGTAACTACTTATTCTTTTCTCTATCCAACTACTAGTTCACTAATCGAATAGAATATATAAAATATACATCGATTATTCAGTAACTGTAAAAGTTAACTTCATCAATCATGAAATCTGTCTAATATCTATATATAGGTCGCATGGGCTTTTAGGACATATGTACTCATTATTTTTTCTATATCTCTCTCTCTCTTTCTTGTGTTATTTCTATGTTTTTATTTAAACATACAGAAAAAAAAGTAAATTACATGTAAAATACTTCTTTTTCACATCAATGACTATATATTCAAAACTCACTCTAAATGTTTAATCAATTTATAAACAATATTACTTATATAGTACAGAAAATGGTTCATAATATTCATGCTATTTTCATTGTTATTTAAAAATAACAATCATTTATCGATGATATCGGTAAGATACACATGTTATGTGCTTTGTCAAAAGGTATCAGTGTATAATAAAGCAATGATTTTGTCTTTATGTGAAATCAATAGTCGTGGGATTGCAGCAGTGCATTGAAAGGTAGATACGAAGGAAAAAGAAAAGCTCGTGTAACAATGGAGAATCATGTATAGTTTTAAAAAAAAACGTTAAGCATTATGTATGCTTAGCAATATACCGAACATACATATTCATATCAAATGCATACATAGTAAAGGCATTAACATAGCAATATATTCAATAATACCTCATCGTCGATGATCAAATCATTACTTTTATCCATACTTGTCGATTTTATTTTCAATCTCACACTCATAGTGATAAGCGTGTCAGAAAATTCGACACGCTAAAAATAGAAACAAGAAAGGAAATGATCAAGATATATGTAATAACATACAAATTAATTTTGAATAAAAATTATTTTAGTTAGTATTTTAAATAAATAAATAGGAAGAAGAAGAAGAAGAAGAAGAAGAAGAAGAAGAGAAGGCAGAATAATCCCACTATAAATTTAACAAAACCTACGATCGATTGATTTTTTCTTCTCAAAATCGAACCATTTATTGGTTCGCACATATTAACATGCCATCGAAAACCCTGTCGATATGTAATTATATATTTTAATAGAAATACTTTTAATTCAATCAATAAAGAATTAAAAGAATTTCAAACTTACATCAACACGTATTTTCGTATCACCAGAAGAACCTGTTATTGATGATGATGCACCACTTTCCAAATTTTTAAACATAGCAACACGTTCTTTTGCTACACCACGTTCAACAAGTTCATTTTCAATATCTACTGTTCGTTTCACCTAAAAAAATAAACATATTTTTATCAACTTATATAGAAAAGAACATCAATTCAGTTTTTTCTTGATAATCTTCATTCATATTTGATTAAATTTAAACATATAAAGAAAATATTGTTTAATATTTTAAAAACTTACTGTAGTTTCATCCGGTTTTTCAAATACTATTGCTCGATTCTTAGTTAAACCACTTTCAATATCGACAGCTGGAATTTCTATTTTGGATGTCGTTGTTGTTGCTTTACTTGCATCAGCTATATACTGTTCTTTAATTATATTTGTTAATCCAGCTGTTACATCAATATATTTTTCTGTTGGTTTAAATTCACTATTGGCTAATGATGCAAATTGATCACGTCGAGCTATAGCTAAACCTTGTTCTGCATCAATATCAATATTTCGATTAACTGAACGTTGATTTTGTTGTTCGGCATCAATTTTTGATAAGAATTCCGAAAGTTTAGCTTGTGCAAGACCTGTTCCAACAATACTTGCTATTTCATCTGAACATGTTGATATTCTTGGACTATCTGATATTTGACCATTTTCAAATTTAGCTTTTGTTTCTGTTGCTACACCAGCTAATACATCATGTTCAATAAAATTTGTTTTATTTATCATATTCATTTCATTATTAATTTGTTGTTGTTCAAATACTTGTTTTTTTGATGATGTTAAACCAGCAACAAGATCAGTTTCTATTGGTGTTTTACTTATATGTGATTCAATTTCTTGTTCAAATTCTCCTTGTTCAAATGCTTGCTTTTTTGATGATGTTAAACCAGTTTGTACGCGAACATCCAAACGTTTTTCTATACGTGGTTTATTGACATCAACTAAACCTTTTTCAAATTTATCTTTTACTTCCGCCATTTCATGATAAGGTATCTAGAATAAATAGAATAAGAAGGATATAATATCGTTTTGTTAATTTACATGTTCTTTCGTTATTGTCTTTCTTCTTGTTGATCGAATAATACCATTTGCTAATGGACCTTCATCTTCATCATTTTCTTGTTCAAGGTGACCATTAGATAATCCTATTTCTTCAAATCTATTGAAGAAAATAAAGTTTTTGTTTTTTTTTTAAAATGAAAATACTCTTCTTAAAAGGAATAAATTAGAAATACATATATAAGGCATCTATTCATTTAAGAAAATGACAATACTAACTTTTGAAATGTATTTTTTATTTTTTCACTTGGTGCAAATTTTTCTACTTTCTGTAATTGTTGATGTTCATCATCTTCATTTGATTTTCCACTAAATAATTTTGTTATATTTCTTAGTCGTTCCAATGTATCATCAGATGTTTTAATATCATCGATTGCTATTAAGAACAAGCAAAAAAAAAAAAGATATTGATTTTCCTATTAATCAAAAGAAAAAGAAAATTCGACAGATAAAATCTCTACATACATGAACCTTCATTTGAATCTGACATTATCTATACACACGTTTTTCTGTTAACAAATAGAACGTTTTCTTGTTTCACAAATGATAACAATAGTGAGAGTTTTACGTGTGCACGTATTATGGAAGATACTTGTAAGATATGTATGCTCGCTCTTTTCTTCTCTGTACGTCGACCTATACAGAACGTACAGATAAATAGAAAAAAAAAAGTGCCCGCTGCGCTCTATGCACATATAAACAATGAGTACCATCAGTAATCATAAGATATACTAAAGAAAAGAAGAAAGAAACGTAATATGCTATAGTAAACACTCATTCGTCCTTTTCCAATGAGAGAACTAGATAATAAGAGAAAAAAGGAGGTCAACATCCAACGCATAAGATATTAACTAAAATAGTTGTTTTTTGTCCCTGGAATGTATCTGTTCGAATATGTAATAAATTTACGTCTATATTGTATAATTCTTTTATAATAGTTGTCAAATAGCATCTGAATTGATATTGAATAATTTCTTTTTATCGAATTAAACTTTCGATAACGATTAAAATTATAGTATTAATTAAACTAAAAGTCCACAAATGGCCTTTGATTTACAATAAGTCTATTGTTATTTTTATCGCATTAATCTTCTTTATCGACACATAGATAACCATTGATTATTGTTGAATAAGTCGTAGGACAAAAAACAGCATGTCTTTTTGATTACGTTTATAAAAGAAGTTCGATATTTATTAGTATATCATTATCAAAATAGTAACTCGTTGTTCTTATTTACTAATAATTGCAAATATTGGAACGAGCAAATGTCAAGACGAGTAAAGTGATTGATCATCATTTCAATATGGGAAAAATGTTTTTCAATCAGTCAAAACAAGAAAAACAAATAAACAAATGATCATCAAATTTATTATTTTGACATAGATGAATAAGAATTAGTAATTATGATTAATCAAGAGTGTCCTGAGGACATCAGATTTAGGCTAGTGATGACGATTGTATACTTGAGTTTCGCAGGGGAAAAAAACGAAAATTTTTCTTGACTAGGGGATCATGCTTTCTCGCTGTGGGACATCTCTGTGACTGATAGACGGTATCTTTGTAGTAAAAAAGCTATTCATCTCAAAAAAAAAAATTTATTAAATAAACAATGAAGCTAGTTGCACACAGTAGAATCTTACGATCAATTAATAGATTTCGTAATATCACAAATTGATGTTTGTTCATATCGGCAATCAGTCTTTTAAGAATCAAACCAAATATTTGTCTAAATGCAATGAATACAACATGAATATGCGTTAAGCTGCTTGTACACCCATTAGAAAAAAGAAAAAGATCGAGGCCATCCAAAAAAAAAAAGAAAAAAAAGCTAGACAACAAATTGTGACCATGATTTTTACTTAAAAAATGTGTTTCTCTTTTTACTATTCACTATTATTTGATGTAATTGGATTCTTTTTTTTTTCTACATGTTATTTAGAATAACTACAACTGTCATTTCATGTAATTCTTGTTACGTTCTATTAATAACAAATTTGCTGATCAAATGTATCTTTTTTTGATGATCAAAAATATGGATACCCATAGGATATTATTGCATAATATGAACAACGCTGATAATGATTCTTTACCATATGTTTTGTTTGAGTAATTCGGTAATAAACTACAATATCCTTGTTTTAGTAAACGTAATAATACTGATGATTATTTTTCAAATTTTACATAAAATATTTAGTATGCATCAATTATTTCATGTCTTTTCAATTGATTCATCTTACCTCGTTCATTATTTCTCTGATTATTATTACAAAAAGCTAAAATTGTATGAATAATATAAAGATGAATAAATGTAGCACAAAACCATTCGTGTATTAAAGTCCAAAAAAGACGCCAGACATTGTTCGAATTATTGGCCATTGTACTAGTGAATGATAGACAAGAAAAAAAATGACTATTCAATAATGATTCTAATGATTATATGATCAGTGAACTTTTTCGTTCGTTAATCTCTTACTCGATCGGATCAATAATGATTGTTATCAAATCATATTATTTTTAATGAATCAATGACTTGTTGATTTAATTCTATATTTACAGAATGATTTATAATTCAACAACAAAAAAAAGAGACAAATAATATTCTAAATTTTCGAATAGCTATCATTATTAAACATTGAATATGAAAACAAATAAAGAATCACTCCTGATGTATAATGTTGTTATTTATAAAGATCAGCAGTTATCGAACTTCTATAATTAAAAGACACAAATACACATAAATATTTTTTTAAACGCACGAATGATAGATATATGTATTTGTTTATTATCTTAATCATCATAAAGATAACAATGAAAATTAAAATTTCCTTTTCTAAAATATCGCTCGAATGAATTTCCTTCTTACAGTTGATATACATAATAATATCAAATTTTATAGCAAATGTTTTCAATACGACATTTATTCATATTTTTATTTGAATTATTCAATTGTCACTGTTATATAAGTATATGAAATTCAAAATATCATACGAAATTTTCAATTCATGAATCATACATATAAATGAATCGTAATTGTTTTTTTTTCAGTACAAATAATGTTTTTGAGTATCTACCGCTGTAATTTTCGTTCCTATAGAATGATTTTTCTGGTTCTATTTTTCTCGTTGTCTTCTACATCTACACCAAATGTCATGCTTCTATCTTATATCGTTCCAATGTTATAAGGTTAACAGTTAGAAAAAAATGGCATTTTGAAGCGACACGTATGAAACGGAGCCGTTTGTCTAAGGAAAGCAAGAAATAGGGAAAAGAAAAAAATATGTAGGTCATTTTATAGCTTGGATATCATTCTGTTGAAACATATAATTTATTGTTCTGTACATCTATTCGTTCGAAAACTTGTTGATCTTGACATTTGATGACAAAATTTTTTGTCTATACAATGATTCAAAATCATTGCACTTGAAGACTAGGAAAGACTCGAATAGAGAACCAATACAATAAATAATAGAGAACTTTTTCGATAAAACTGTTCGCTGTTTCTTATTTCTATATTAGAGAACAAGGCATTGAAATACCCAAAAAGTCATATATTCACTCACTCTATACACTAATATTTTGAAACTTTTTTGATCGATAATCCATGAATGGTTGTTCTGGTTTCATTCAAACTTTCAAATTAAAAACAGCTCAAAAAAAGTATATGAGCAACAACAATTACAACCATCTAGCATTGACTGTTCCGAAAATATTAAAAATTACAACAAAAAACAAAATATATTGATGCTTTTTCTAAAGATATTTCCAGTTAAATCCACGCCAATGTATCTTTTTCAAATAAAGTGTAACTGAAATGAAGCTATTCTTGACTATTCACTTTCGATACACAGCTGGAAAAATGAGTACATTCTATTCATTGAAAGATGTCATATCATTGTTCTAGCAGTACCAATACGTTTGAGACATCTTGCATGGCCAGCATAACTTCTAATGCATTTCCTCTTGAATATTTATTACCTTTTAAAATTCACTAATATCTCGTCTATTCTACGCGTTAATGTGTTCGACAACTCCGTTGTTTACGGATAAAAAAAAGAATTAATTTTATTATCAAAATTGTATTAAGTCAATATTGAAGTGATCATTATGCCATAGTTTTCGCATAAACTTTTAGAACATATAAGTCGTGAGAATATGATATTTAGCGCAAGTCTAATTTGTCCATCAAAGATATCATTTGCAATCAAAAAGTGCCCATTCTATTCCTGGCCCCGCCGAGACCATCTGTGCCCATACTTATACATGATCAAAGGTTGTATATGAATGACATCTCATTATACTGTATGAACTAATTCCTTAGTGCATTTGTGAATGATAAAGTAAAAGAATAGTAAAGAAATGTGTCCCAAAATGGATAGAATAAAACAATCTTTCGGTGATTAGCAACAACATTTATATCGTATTTCTTATTTTAATTCCTTAGGGACTGTATTAACAACTTTTCTTTTCTGTGGTTAGAAAAAGTAATCAATATATATATATATATATGATAAGTACGAAATAATAATAACTAAATATATAGTAGCAAAATATTGTATATCATTTTGCTTGAAGGAACTTGACAAGTATTGTGATAAATGTCATATAGAATAAAGACAAATGCATTCATAATAAAAATAAGAAATAATTGATATGCAATTTTTAAGTGTTGATTTCATACAAGTATTTTAACGTTTTTGTTTTCACGTAACTAAACATCGATTAAGAATAAATAATAAAATTTACTATCTAACTCATTTTTTTATAATGCTAAAGAAACATAATATTATAGTTTACAAAAATCTAATCGATTAATATTATAAATTTAAAATCAAAAATTATCCAAAGTCATAGAACCTTGAGCTATAGAAAAAGAGTATGCAAAAAAAAACAAAATTTGAAATACATCAGCACATAATAACAAAAATACACGTATATTTTGACATATCATCGCAATGGTATAACTCCAATCACACCATAAATATCATCAACTGTATCAGTAATCGATCTGGATAGTTTTTTATAGAATCATAAAGAAATCAATACATGTGTATTTCATAAATGAGTTATTTGATTGACATAATCAAAAAAAAAACCCCAAAAAAGAAAGGTTTTATTCGAATGCATCGATAAGAAATCGCGATAATATCATCATGATGAAAGTAAATATTAACTATAAATAACATAATAATATTATTCATAAAATATTTTATTCATTTATTTAATGTATAATTTATTTTATATATGTACTTTAATACTCAAATCGAGAATATTTATTTACGATAATAAAATTAAAAATAAAAGGTATCTAAAACTTTTGTTTATATTTCTATTACTAAAATCATGAATAAGAATAGTTATCAAAATTTTTTGGATTGTAACACAAAATTTAGCTATCGATAATATCATCTTACATTTACAACCTTGAAAATTCAATGTTAACAGAAATAGTCTCTCTCACTAATGCTAGCACGAAAACATACACATAGAAAATTTCTCTCAAATATCTGAATATTAGAAAAATATTTACTCATTAAATAAAACTTTCAGATTGAACATTAATTTAGATCATAGATTGAATCAATTTGTCTTTGTTTTGAAACCAAACTTACGCCTATCTCGAATGTTGATTAAACGTCGGTATATGCCATTCTAGATTTCTATATTTTTTAAAAGTATATATGTAAACGATTTATAAGCTGTATGTTTGTTTGTTTACGTAATGGATTGTTATACTTTTCTAGAGTATAGTTTGTATTCATATTTGAGCATGCTCTTTCTCACCATCTAGTTTAAATTAGTCATCTAGATATATCTTTTATTTTTCGTAAAAAAAAGATTTTAATAATATCTTTATCAATTTCAACATAGAAAATGATTTTTATTTAACAATAAAACCTATTTAAAAGATGAGTTTTTGACAAACAATTAATTTGTTTTTCATAAAATATTTCATTTGTTAATCGCTGATCAAAAACATGCCCTGAACACTTAAATCATTGAACCATGAATACGATGATTTGTGTGACTCACAACAAAATGAAATCAAGAAAACAATCATCAAACAAATTCAGATAATATCAATGGAGTTTTGAACTATAATCGATTTGCATACTATTTGTTTCATATATAATGATAAATTATCATTAAAGGTCAGATAACTGAATCAATCTTAAAGTGGCAACGAAAGTCAAAATAAGCTAATAATTATTTAAGAAATTTGAATTATACATCGAAACAATTTCATATAGCTGTTATTTATTTATATGAACTTTTCATCATCTTATAAAAAAAAACAACACATTCTTAACAATAAAAACTTTATTTGTTTTTCTGCTCGTAAATCCATTTTGTATATGGTTCTTCGAATAACAATGCTATTTTATAAGCTATATAAACTTCTATTGTAAGTAGAATACCAACAGGTGAAGAATAATATAATGCTAAAGAAAAAAATGATAATGTTGATCCAATATACATTGGATTATTTAATACATTAAACGGAAATGTTGTTACTGGTGCATCCATAAGAATTCCACAATAATCACCTAAAAATGTTCCTGTAATACCTAATTTATAAAATGATGATAAAACAAATATTTGTCCAAGAATAAATATTATTATAGAAATAAATTCTATTAAATAAGAATAATCTTCTAATAATATTAATTTAGGTTGATTTTGTATTGTTTTTCGAATTAAATAATCTCGATATGATGAAAATGAAAATATCCATATCGTTAATAAATAACACATTATATAACGTTTATATTTTGAAGTATTTTGTGGTATAAATTTATAACATAAACGTGCTAAGATATTCCATAGAATAGGACATAGTACAATGATACAACATGTATAATGTAAATGACAATCATCGAAATGAATAATTGTTGTAGAAGACATTTGATTCAAAAACTAGATTTAAAACTAGTCACTGAATGTGAATATTTTTTTGTTATACTTTAGAACTAAAGGCAAACGCAAGAGTTTTCTTTTTCCTCGTTAAAAGATAAGATAAAATTCGTTTAGGTATAATATGGATATGATATGGTATTTTCTGGGCTCAATATTACAAATATGGTGATAGTAAATTACGATATCAAATCAAAAAAAATGTTATTCAATATTGTATGTGTTTTTTTGTGAAAGAAAACCTAATGTTTTAAGTCTGAAAATGAATATTAATCATATCATTAAATAATATTTCAATACTTTAACTGATTTACATTATTCATAAACAGTAGAAAAACAAAGAACCTGACCACAAGAAATGTGAAAATAAGTTATATCTCTTAAGAAATGACATGTGCTTATACAGACAAAATTTGTGAGACTAAACGAACACGAATGATAATATATTGAGAATCTGATGATTATGTATATTTTAAAAGTATTTTACAAGTTTTGATCAAAATAAATCTATAACAATTATTTTTATATCTTAATATACCATCTATTATACACTACCTCTTCAATTTATATTTATTTTGATGGTTACAATTATACGATAAACTTTCAATCAAAATTTCAACATATTTAGACGCTAAATGTATAATTTCAATTGTTTTTGTCATTAATATTGGCCATGATATGTGGCTAACTACATTATATTGTCTTCATTGTTCGTATATTTTTTTTCATGTTATATTGGTTACTTCGTTTTTTTTTTGTTTGTTTCTTGTCCTTCGTTTTTCGTTTCTTATGGCTTTCGATATGTCGTATTCAAACTATAAGAGTACATCAACAGTATTGTAACGAGGTCATGTCAAAAAAGAAGATATAGAACAATATGCTTTTTATTGTTTATCGAGCTTTTGTCTTGTATTGCCTTTGTATTTTCGATTTGCAAAATACAGGAATCGAACAACTGAAAATAAACAATGGATGAATCACAGCTAACTCTTGCTCTAATTATCAGAGTAAAATATTCTTGAAAGTACTTGCAGAAAAATCTAATAAACTTTTTTTCTTTTGATCATTTGTTATTTTTTTTTGTCCACATTTATTGCATGATGACTATCTAATTGACAGACATTTCGCTTTTATGTACAAATAGAAAAAGTGTCTAATAAAGCAAAACGTGTGTTTGTTTTCGTTTCTATTTCATGAATATAAATGTGCGTTAATAATAATTAAGAAAAACTTTGAATAAATATTCATTTAGTTGAAATTATCAAATATCGAATTAAATTAATATTTATAGTATAATATCTATGTAAACTTATATGATAATGTAAATTTTACATTATTGTTAGGTTCTATTGACATCCTAATTTGTACTAATATGTTTTTGTGGACAATTTTGTTTTTGTCCAAAATATTTTTTTCATCGATATGATCATTTGTTTTTTTCCTATTATCTAAAATGAACTTTGTCATTTTGTATTTTTCAAACTATATTGAATTAATAACTTCTTAGTTCTCCCATTCACCATAAAAGAACACGTCCTATACCTATAGTTATCATTTGTAGATATACGTATGTATACGTTTACTAATCATGATAGTTGAATGATAGAAAAAGAAAATAAGATATTCATCATTCAATAAAACTGTCTCTTATTTTTTTCTTGTGTGTTTTTTTTTCACGTATATACCGAGCGCTAAATGTTCGCTGTGGCTGTATACAATACACCTTAACATCCATCGGTTATTCATTCACTTTTCTTGTTATAGCCTGATTTTTTTTTTACCCTTTACATTTTCGTTTTCTTTTTCTCTCTCTCTGTCTCTCTCATCATGTTTGTTCTCCTACGTTCCAGCTGACAAGGCAAGCTATATAACGAACCGCAAACCTCAACTGTTAGTGTCGTGTCTTGTCATTTTTCTTCCTTGTTTTTATCCACAAGCATCTGCTAATGGCAACTGCAATCAGTTCATTTACACCCTTTGCATTTAATCAACAATCATATTATTATCCAACATTACCATCAACTTTTTCTTTATCAGCTTTTCCAAATAATTTTTATTTTCCACAACAACACCAAATGCAGCCACAGCAGCAACAACAACAATTCACGACACCAGTTCAATATGTTGATTCGGGAATACAATCATTACGTCCTCGTCGACAACCTCGTATTTATCGAGAAGTAATTAGATTACCAACACCTGAACCAACCTATCGACAAGTGCGATATCGATTACCAACACCTGAACGACAAGTTATTCAACGAACAGTTGTTCAAAGAGGAAACGGTGAAGTTGTTGTTCGAGAACAACGACCACAACGCAAACCAAGAAGTCACAGTCGAATTGAATATCGTACACAAAAACGATCACATCATTCACGACAAGTTCACACTGATTAACAACAAATATTTATCCTAAGGATTGATTAAATTATCATGCGTTATTTTATTGTTTTCTTTTTTCTTCTTTTCTTGTTATAAACATTAGATTTACTATAATCTTCTTTTTTTTTTAATTTAATATAAACCTAAAATAGGTAGAAATAATTAGAAAATAAAAATATATATCATTGACAAATGTTTTCAATTTATTTGCTACTATCATAAGTCATATATAAGTTTAATTACAATTTTTGATATAAAACGGTTACGCTGGATGGTTTCTAATCAACACAAACAATATGTTACTATTGACTGTATTAGCCATATATTTATTGAGGTAGAAATCGTACTTCATCGAATCATGAGAAGCAGTGTCTAATGATCATGAAATAACTAGTGCATGTGGTGTAATATAAAATTGTATAGACGAAAGGTGTTTACTATTGGTATCAGTCACAGCAATAGCGTAGATTATTGTATCGATTTAATGACAGTAATATATTGATGTTATTGCTTTCATATAGATTGCTGTTTTGTATCAATGAAGAATGAAGATATAAGACAAGATTTATTCTTGCTATGAAACTTATAGTTTCATTGAAATCCATAGAGACTTATCTGTGAATTTATAAATCTATACAATATAACTTGAAACAAACTTAGATTTTATTTTTTTTTTGCAAAAAATTATTCGAAATATCAATCCTTGTTTTTGGTATGAAACACAGTTTGAAAAATAATACTTTTATGATATATCTATATAAATATGATTATATTGCTAAACAAAACCATATGTTTAATATAAATTGATATGAATAATTTAAAATGCTGTTTCATGATATTCATTTACGATTCTTGATTTTTAAGTCATATGTTATCTTGTTTCACAAACCGCATATAAGAGCGTACTAGTACTTTTCTTTTTCAACACCATTGAATCATATATTAACGGAAAGAGCGTGCTGAGACTAACATTTTAGTGTTAGTTTCATGGAAATTCGATCGAATATTGAAATCGAAAACCTACCGATCAAGTTATATATTTTAGGTCATTGCTCTAATAATTCATTGCATTATGGTGGATTCTATTTGAAGATAAGCAAAAAAATAAAATACTACTGAAATTATGAATTTGGTAGCTCTTTGATAAGGCTTCTATCTCATATATAAATTACGAATTGATTGTTGAATTTAACAAGATATAGATCCGATGTACTGATAGACACTGTTAATATATTTAATATATTGACCATCCATACTTATCTTTCAACAAATATTTTAGTGTAAAAATTGAAATGAGCAAAACTGTGATATTGCTCATTTGATAGCCCTATAAAAAAAGCTACAAAAATCATATATTTTTCAAAGTCAAAAAGAAAACTGGCACTTACAAGACCTCTAAGCACACTATTTCCCAGGCCACGTTTTGTATCTCTTTTAATCAATATTTAGAAGCTTTTAATTAGAAATAAAACTTGGATTTGATCTAGGTGTGATTCAAACAATTTCTGGAGCTATTGTTTCGTCAAAAATTTTGCTTGTAGTCTTCTTCAAGGACCAGACGAACAAAAAAGATTGCATCAAAGTACCATTGGAAAATTACAAATAAACCTCGAAAATTGTTAAAATAAGTAGATAGTAAAATGTGAGATGTTTAGATAATAAAAAACAGGGTCTTCATTAAGTTGATTTTTTGTCTGGTTCCCGAGGGAAATCTCGAGTAAAATTTTAAACAGAAAAGAAAAAATTTCAAAAATTCTTGAAATTGCATCTAGGCCAATTTAGAATGTTATATAGATTCTGAATATCATATTCATTTTGACTCAAATTTATTGTTTCTTACAGTACAGTTTTTATTTTAAATATTGAAAAATATTTTTTTTATAGACAAAAAATTCACACTTTGTTCAAAGTAGAAATCTACCCGAATATTGCATTATTTTATGAAGAATTAAATGCTACTGTATTGCTATTTTTGTATTCAATCTTATTTGAAAAAAAATTTAATTATCAATAAATGTAGAAAATTCAACGGATCAAAAAATGACTTTGACTATTTGTTTAAATAAAAGTATTCCATAATTAAATAAAACTTCAAAAAACTGTCAATATTATTACAATAAAAAATTCAAACTTATTACAATCATATTTCTTATTAATATTATTTTCTATTACTGTCGATTTGAATAAATTATCTCAATATCAAAAAGATAATTGAATAGAAATCATCTGTTTCACAAATGAAATTCCATACAGCTACAATTCTACATTAATTGTAACTTCTACTTGCCATGCGACAGTCTTACGTAAGTTCGCATTGATTACATAAATTATATTAATAGATAAATCAACAGTCAAAATTAAAATTGAGACGACGAATAATCACACCCAATTTCTTTATCTACTCAATTTCGAGGCACACCTGTTAGTCTCAACATCTTTACATAACAACTCGAAATACGAAGATAGACGTTTCTATTTTTATCAATGAAGCTAACGTCAATAGTCAATTAAATCTAAAATTCTAATGCCGCAGAATGCACCAGTCGTGAATGATACGATTGTCTTTCTTTTTTTTTCTACAAAGATTAGGAAATCAGTGCATAAGAAAGAAGAGAAAATGTTATGTGAGCTATCTTTTTTAATATTTAATTTGAAATTTAATTAATGACATCTTATCATGAGATTTCATGTTAATCATTTATTGTTATTTTTTTTATTAGTTCATATTTCTCTACAATGATTACATTTCTACAAAAGCCTATTTTTTTACGATACCTGAAAGAAACAATATAAGATATCGATTAATTTATTCTTTTATTTATTTATTTTTAAATTTTTTATCTTAAAAATAAATTTCTCGAAAGATTTCATACAGATTAAATTCATACTTTTTCTAATAACGATTCAAACAACGAAAATGAATGAGTAATTGAATGCAACAGAATGAGACGAATCAGAGATGGAACTGGCACCGACGTGTCTTATATTTATCTTCTCTTCTTATTATGCGATTAAGGATATGTGTACTACAACTTTTTTTTTTAAAAGTTGTTAATGTCAAGTATCACTATTCATAAATAGAAAAGTATGACAACTCATCAGTCTAGTATTGATATGGATTTCAAACCAACTTCATTATCTGCAACGAGATTTTTGTATCCTATATAGATGAAACACAATTAGTGCTTCTCTTTTTTTCAACTAGCATTTTGCACTGTATAAAGTTAGCACAGTTCAGAAAAAATGACTTATTCTGCATAAAAACCTCTGCATTAGGAACAAATACGCCGACATTTTCTCTTTAATTGAATTCGACTTTCGAAAAAAGAGTTTTCGATCTATTTTACTGAAAAAAAAACAGAATCATGGTGAAAAAGTAGTTTTTACACAAAAAAACGAAATTCAATTATGGATTTTCTCGCTGTGGTGAAAATGTCTCTTAGGAATCTAAGTTTAGCAAATGAAGGCGAAGAAAACCTTGAACAGCTTTTAGTTTATTTAAGATGGCGCTAATTTACATTACTACATTTATCGATTCCTATTCTTTGCTCTAATTGGTGAATGAGGGACGTATCCAATAATAAAAAAATGACTCTAGTGTCATACTATATTCGTTTATTTAGCATTAAAAAAAAGGACAGCAATTTTTCACCTATATCAACAAAACTGATATTCATCATATTTTTTTCCTACGTCCATTTCTTTTTGATGGTTATTATTATTGTTTCGTCATGCAAGGTCTATTCAATTTTAAACATTATGAAAAATGCTTATTCCTCGTGGTAAACAATTAGCATACATTGACAATTTCCAAGATAAGAATTATTAATTTTAAAATACATATTTTTCGTAAAAAAATTTTTCTCTATCTATCAAATGATTAGTTTCTTATTAGAAAAAATAATATAAAATATCTAGATTTTCGATATAATATTTCTATTCAACAATAAATTTTTTCCTTCAAGTAATATTCTTTTTAGCTTAAACTTTAAGAAAAATAAATGTTCTCTAATTTCAAAGAGACAACAGTGAGAGTTAATGACAATCGATAATAAATTAAATTAAACTTATACAAAATCGAACAATAGTAATACATTCTTGTTAGATACTATTTAGCTGAGTCTTGTGAAATATTCGAGACTGTCCTGCAAGACTCTGGTATCTATAGATAATATCAGAAGTAAATTTTATTTTGAATTAAAATTTATCCGTAAAACATATTTTAAAGTTTGTTAGAGATCGCATCGGCTCATTTTTTTGAGCATTTTCTGTTGATGAGGATTGTTCTTCAACTGTTTAATCTTACGTGAGTGGAGTCTATGTACATTATGTACTGAAATAAGAACATAAGATCTGCTATTTCATGACAGCAGTGTAAAAGGCAAGCTGTTATCTTAGGATATGAACAGTGACAAGACCTAAAACAGTCACAAAGAACGATTCTTGTTAAGAGTTGCCTGCATGCAAAGTTTCAAGTTGAAATTCTAAAATGAATTTTTTTACTACAACATTTATGAAAAAAAAAGATACCATAAATGTACAGTATCTTCTTAGCAATCAATTAAAAGGCAAGCACTATTTTTCAAAATATTCATAGTTCATTTGGATCTGCATTAATACATTTCGTCTTAATTGAATAGTTGCAGATTTTTCTTTGTAAGAAAAATATTTCGAAAGAGTGAGACAATTGCTTCAAGTCCTTCTCTTCGCAATTCACTACTGTCTATAAGTCTTTTACTGCTAATTAAATATATATATTCAGTTTTTTTTAATGATATATTTAGGATTGAAAACAAATTACCTTCCTTCCTAGAATAGTGTGAGATATGCCGGAATTATAGTTGTCTAGATGATGTTTTCAATTAATCCAAATCTTCGAATTTATATTCAAAAATTTCTAATAAACTTATTTCTTGACATAAAAATTCTCAAAACACAAAAATGAATTCATATCAAATTCAAGATAATTCTCATTCGTCTAACGGTTAGAATAAAAAAAAAAAACAATGTTTATTTTTTTATGTTCTTATCTTTATCTCAAATGATGACGAAGATTTATTTTTCTTACTTATTTTCAACATACACTATGACTATATTTTTTTTTTATAGGTCCACAATTTCACTAGATTTATTAGATTTTTCAATAGAATTTCTATTACATACAATTCGATTTTTTTTTCTGTTTAAGATAATTTATCGGGTGTTCTTTTTGTTTTTTTTGGTGCAATAATGAAGTGGCCTATTTGTGGACCAAAATTATCTTTATGCTGTTCGATTATATCAGTATGGGGCATAATACAATTTATATTATTGGGTATATTTTTTTTTATTCAATCAGCTCCATTAATAGATGATTTCGAATTTGAAAAGAAGAATGCAACGGACATACTAGTATTTGAAGAAGGTCTTAAAGAAGCTTTTCATCAACGTGCTTATAATTGTTGGGTTGCAGCATTTCTTTATGTTGGTTTATTAATATTTGCTGGTATACAATTTAAGACTCATTTAAAACAATCATCAACACCTAACGTTCCTCCATCTATTACATCACCATTTCTCGGTGTTACAACAGACATGACAGATCGTACTCAACAATATGGAATACAATATACTAATGATCATAGTGAAACATAAAACTTTCCAAAAAAAAAAACAACAAAATTTTTTTAACAGTGACACTCCTATAATCTTTAATTTATTTATTGATATGTCTTGGTGTTGGTAGAGATAAAATTCTTGTATTTGTATAACTTTCCAGACAAAAAACAAAACAATATAAATAAAGCATTTATTGAAAGAACAAAGATTCGATTTTTATTTTACAAAAAAATATGACATAGATTAAATTTTAGTTTGATTACATGCAAATGCATAACAAATGAATCCTACTTAAATATCAAAATACTTGTAATAGTGATAAGAAATATGACATAGATTTGATATTATCGATTTATCAAATAAATAAAGAATTGAATAAGGATAAAATGTCAGAGAAACGAGATAGAGTATTTTAAATTTTCATTGTTGAAAATAGAATGTAAAATTTGTGTCAAGATTTGAATTCAAAAATTTGATGCCATATGAAGAGAGTTTAATGAGTGACCTTAATTCATAGCAGTCTTTTCATAAATTTGCTAGAAAAAAAAGACAAATGGGTTTCTGCCATATGTGGTGGAAAAATCTATTTTTGTGTCACAGTAGCAGCTCATGAGCGAACGCTTCCAAGTGTTTGATTGCTTATTGATCGAAGTTATATTCAAGTAAGAGACCATGGTGAGTAGTGTAAAAGTCTTAGATGGTTTGAGTATCCTGAGGCTCTGCTCTTGAGATATCGAATTTTTTCACAGACGGCTGTGGTGCCTATCAGGTCACTATAAAAATCGAATTTTGATTTGAAACTTAGTTCAAATGAAGTTGTCCATGATACGAGCTTATTGCGAAATCTTCAATGTCTTAAGCTTTTGGTATCCAGATATATTCGTATATGAAGAAAGATTATTTATTTATTGAAAGATTTTATTGTAGTTATATCTCCGAGTCAGAGATCAAAAATTCACTGAATATTTTATGATGAACTAGTGTTGTTGAGAGCTTTATTTATGCAAATTTTCAATTTTCAATTCGGCATCCATGATGATCTGAGGAGAACTACAGCTTTCTGTTAAAAAATCCAGTAAAAACTCAATATCTCAAGAACAATTGCTCAAACAACTGATCTCTCGTAGGCTCTACATTACTTTCTATGATCTCTCACTTGAATAGTCTAGATCGAACACTTCGGGATGTATTGCTATCAGTTAATCGGCTTACGCCTCTAATCTTAGGTGAACATTTTGATCTACCATTTTTTGAGAAAAATTTTTTAATGCAAGATCTAAATGGTTAACAAGTTTGTTAGACTAACGTTTTGTATAAACAGTGATGCGTTCATCTTGTTTTTCTACGATCGATTTGTACCTTTTTGGTATATTACCAGTGATTTGCTGACATTTTTTCATATAATAATAATTTTTTATTTAATATTATGTTATGGCTTGTATTTATTTGAGCAATAAAAATATTGGAATGAGCAATAATTAAAACATGATTTAGCAGTAACTTTCGAGCAATAAATAGTTTATTAGATAACAATATTAATTTCATATTTGAGCAACAAAAAGGAGTAAAACTACATTATTTTTATTTACAATTGACGAGAAACAAAAAAGAAAAATGAAATAACATGTTCCTATCAAAAGTTATTCGCAATACAAGAGTGTCGGGTGACTTATGGACCACCCTGTACATTTTATATTTTATTTAAATTAATTCTTGCTCATTCAGTATAAGTATCGCTCATTCATTATATATATTGCTCATTCAATATATTTATTGCTCATTCAATATATTTATTGCGAAATTTGATTATTACCCATTTCAACTATATTATTGCTCAATTAACCCTTCGTGGTTGTCGTGGGGTCCGCGCGGACCCATTTCACAGTTTTTTATTTAATACTACATCAAGAGCTTCTGTTTCGAGCCAGTCCCCTTATCTAATCTCTAGTCCTATGTTGGTCTACAACATCCTTATTAGAAATCAACGATAAGCCTAGCAGATGAAAAATGCAGCTGTGGGTCCGGATGGACCCTACGACAACTATGCTGTTACCAGCATATTTTTCGTCTTGATAAAGCTGCCATCTGTTGATTCACATTTTTTTTTAAATGATTTACTTTGGTTGGCTTATATGTTACGTACGTTTTTAAAGCAGTTGAGCAAAAGTTTGACAGATGCACAAAATCGTCGCCGTAGTCAAAAAGTTCGGCTTATGCCTAAAGTCAAACTGGCGTTGCTCTCACTAGGTTATCAGGTTCACTCAGAGAGTATCAAAGATGTTAGCCAAAACATCCAAATTCATCAAGCTAAAAAAGGTGTTTCCTATGTCCAGCTTAACCAGGACGAAAAGTTCGACAAACATGTTTCAGCTGTGGTCAAAATGTTTATTTGTCTCATTCCAACAGTGTCACAACAGTAACTTGTCAAACATGCATGGAAAAACATTAGAGTATACTTTACATTTATGAAAAAAAGATTTATATACAAACAACATCATCAGTTTGATAAAAAAAACTGAGTTTTTATTGCTTTTTCTAATAATAAAGAGAAAGATAAAAGTAGCTATAGTTCAAAAAGAAAAGTTTCTTGCTTTCTCAATTGTACAATTGATTATATATATAACAACGTACGCGTAGAATCCTATCATATAGACTAGATTGATATATTCTATGCTTTTCCCAGCTATTATCAATGTTGCTACAAAAAACGATTAGAGAAAGTAATTTTTTGCGATATCATACATCTTTACATTTTTTTCACGAGAGCTGACTCATTAGTTTTTATAAAGAAAGATCTCCACCTCTTCATATAAGTCAAATGAAACTCTTGAAGAAAGGAAAAAATCGTTTTTTTTGTAATTTTCTATACGTGGGTCCAGGCGGACCCCAGGACAACTACGAAGTACAAAAATCAGGACAACCACGAAGGGTTAAATATAAGTCTTATGTTATGAATTTAATTTATATTTAATTAAATCTTGTTGAATGATATCCTGCAAGTTTTCTATTTGCCATATATCATCTATCTACCTTTGAAATGAATTCTGGAGTTATTTTAATGAACTTATTAAAAACTGTCGAAAAACTAAAACTAAATCGCTGCTGGCATATTAGAGAACAAATTTCAAAAGAATAAAAATCATGAAATAAATATGTCAACGTGGAACACTTTAATAATATGACGAAGATCATTTGGCTAAAAGAGTATGTTCTATAAAAATATTTTTTGAAGCAAAATTATGCAACTCGTTACATGAAAATATTTACTCAAGGTTAATAAAATGATTATAATTTTGTACGAAATTCATGTATTTCAAAGTATCTTTTTTCTCAAATAGCAGTTCTAATATTTCTCGACATACTTATGTATAAGTTTGCTGATAGATGTAGTACAGACAAAACTTTCGAATCACTTTTTACAACCGTGGCTTTAGAAATACTTGTACAGTTCAGTTTTCATTTATATATGAGACCGTGCAAGGTTTATCAAATGAAAGATTTCTACGTCATTTGTTTGTTGATTTCAATCTTATTTATCGATGATCTTTGTAATAAAGTATACAAGGATAAAATACAAATTTTGACTGATTTTCTAAATGTCAATATTTATTTATTGTTATTATTAAATATTTGCGACGAAATTGTTTTTTTCAATACAACGACGGGCCTCACCCCTTCCCACCACCCCAATTGATTAATCGTTTTTCAGTGAAAACTATGTATATTATGGTGACTCTAATGATCTCTGAATATTCTAAAAAGAGTTTAGACCCGTAGCTGATTGCTGCTGAGATACTGCATTTTTATGGTTTTTTTCAAATCGCTAGTATGGTCTCTCTCAGAAACACTATGAAAATTTCTTTTCAAATTTGGACTTCAAATTTTGCACGAAGACAGATCTTAATTAGAATGGTTGGTTGTCAAAAGTTCCAGTGTCTTGATTTGCTTCTTTTTCTGTGATAAGAACATCTACTCTGTCTGTGTACATGCAAAATGTAAAAGATAAACTTTTATCATAGGTATATCTTAGGATATAAATAACGAAGATATAGGAAACTTTCACAATAAACTATGTTTAGTGAGTGTTGTCTCCATGAAAGTTCTCAAGTCCGAATTCCAAAATGAGTTCTCCTAGTTTTTTTGCCGAGGATCTTGTCATTTATTAGAAAATATGCAGGAGCTCGGCAGCAACAAGCTAAGGGCCTAAACTTGTTTCTAGGTATTCATAGTTGATTAGGATCTATGTGAAGTACATAGTGTCGATTCAAAAGCGTTTAATCAGTTGAGGAACTTCTCTCGTAAGATGCAATCTTATATTGAGCAAATATTTAAAAAATAACCTAACAAGTGGAATACTATTCAGTAAATGCTTTTTTGTGTTTCTCGATGTATATGTAATCTATTGTAATTAATAACAATTCAAACAAACATCATTTTTGAATTTGCTCATGTCTAATGAACAAAACTATTAAAGAGTTAGGGATCATCTACAAAAAAATGTCCAGCTAAAAGAAATAAACACTTTCGTTTTTTTTTACATAGGTTTTGGCAAAAATTTCAAGACCAGTTTGTTTTTTAGAGAATGTTATGAGATAGAAAATTTATGGAATGAATCAGCTGAACATGAATACAGTGCTGACATAATGAAAGATTATGCTACATGAGCACATGTTTATGTTGTAGAGCAGTTATAAGAAATTTTCGAGCGTCGTTTGTATTGAACTTCAGTTTTTGATTTTAGTATTATTTCTTTCCATTATAATACAATATTTCACCAAACAAACACTTTGCAGGGGTGTGAAGCAACAACAAGCTGCAATCCCAGGTGCCACAGTAGGTTTGGCACTTGATGAAGCTTCACCAAATATATTTTATTAAATGATAGACGAGAAGAAAGATGATAATTGACGAGAGAAGAATAGCAGAAAACAAAGAACAATGTAGATAGATCAATAAACGGTTGACTGAAAGGTAGCAGTCAAGACGAAACTGAATGTTGAAGAGAAGATGTATATGATAGAAAATGAGTCAATGAGATCAAGATCAATGAAGAAGCTATGTGTGTTGAAAGATGAGAAAATGAGTAGTAGTGAAGCTACTAACTAAGAAAACGAATAATGAATAATGATATATCACAAGAGAGAGAAAAAGCGCGACAAAGGAGACAAAATAAAGAAAAGAGAGTCATCAATGAAAGACAATAGAAGGAAGAGAGAGAGAACATAGGTGACGGCTAGTGCCGTT